ATTCCTGCTCTCCCAAGGGTGGTGCTAATCGACACCCCCCTTTTCACTTCAGCCTCTTTTAGTTCCCACCTTTGAAGTGAAGAGGCCACAAAATACCACCTTTACAGTGTAAAACGACCCAGTATTAACACAGCCTGCCATTAGTCTTATTCCTCAGTTCTGCGATCATCCACCGGATGCTTTTCAGAACATATTGAAAAGTCACAAAACATCTGGCGTCCACTAAAGCTGGGGTGACTTCTCTTCTGCTCTTTACCTCGGCACAAACGTGCCGTACCCACCTGCAACATCCTTCCTGCGTTAGCCATTGTTCCTGGTCTTCCTGCAGGCGCCTGATGGGGCAGTTCCCTTAAACCATTTTCTTGGTGTGGAGTTTCTGTGAGAGCAGGAGTGTAACAGGCTACAGACCATGTCCTGAACTCGTAAAAGAGCGTTTTTCCTGCATTTCTTTCTGCTGTGTTATTCAACGACAAACATCCTCCGGGCCTCTATTTAACCAAATACAAGTACATCCCAATATTCAGCAAGGACTATCTCAGCTTTCCAAACCCAAGCTTCCCATGTGACCTGAATGATACCATCACTTATTTAGGAATTACCCCAGCCGGAGTGGCCCAGAGGAGTGTCTGCAAGCTCAGAGCAAGCCAGGGCCACCTCCGCCTGGCCGGAGCCCCTGCCCAGGGGCAGAGAGGCACTGCGCTGCAGTCACTGCATGCTGCTCACAAAGCCAAATGTCCTCTGACCCAGAGCCAGCTGGTCCTTGCTACAGCTGTGTCAACATGACACAGCTGGGAAGTGTCCCAACCCCAGGGTCCGGGCTATAGGCTGTCAAAGGCTGAGTCATGGGGTGTGAGGCAGCCCCTGCTCCTCTTCATGAGCTTTTAAGATCATGGCCCAGGAAGGAGGTAGCTGCAGGTTCATACATCAGCCCACAACAGGGTAGCTGAGATATACCAAAGGTACTAATGGGGCAGGGGTGCCCCACAACCCTTGTGTGAGAAAGTGGGTCTTTCCAGTTCTGCGATTCTTCCAATTTCGCCTCTTTAGTGAACCCCAGGCGTGGCTGGTGCTGCAGTTGGTGCAGCTGAAGGGCACACAAAGGGGAACTTGCCATGGCGCCAGTGCCTCTGAGCCATCTGGGAGCGGGGCGCAGGGAACAGCAAGCCCACAGCAACAGGGGCTGCAGCAGCCAGCAGATCCCATGGCCCTGGGGGGCCTTGCAGAGTCCCAGCTGTTACTGCCTCACTGATATTAGTATCCAGCATAGCTGGGTTAGAGAAGGGGTCTGAAACCGTAACTGACCTGCCAATTCTTGTTACCACAGCAGCGTGCAAACCTCACTTCAGAAGGTACAGTCATTTGGCACTGTATGGGGCTGAGGGGGGCAAGGAGCTTCAGGGGGAAGGATGGACACCTCCTGTAAGCAGATCAGCTTTGGCAGGCCGGGGGAAGCTTCTGTTTTGCTTTAGCTGCCAGCTCCAAGGGTGCGTTTCAACTCTTTTCTCTGCTGGCGGTTTCCACCCCATCCACTGTGCCACAAGCAAACTCACTTGTTTATGTCACACCTTCTAATTCAGTGGGAAGGCACTTCTGGTGAAAGTATGGTTATAAAGGCTTTCTATATCTATACGTAAATACAGATAGATAGATATACCTGTATAGACATCTATACATCTATCTACATGGATATCTATATATAATTAAAGATACATGAGGTCCTTTATAGACCCTTTCCCAAATTTGTAAGTGATTGCGCTTATAAAGGCAAAATCAGCTTTAGAGTAAAACCAACTTGGGATTGTTATCCACATCACAACAGTTTCTGAAAAACTGACAGCAGGGCTTAAAAGTCACCTATAAAATAATTTTAAGAAGTATTTCCCTGTTATTTTGGCAACTCATGGTTCTTCTTGTACTTACTGCTTGATGCCTTACTAGTTTGGTATGTCACTATATAGCAATAAAGCAAAAGTCAGATCTAGCAGGCTGGCTGCTTAGCTTGCAGGAAGCTGTATCATAATGTGGAAGAAAAAAAAAACTTGGAGCATTATCAGTAAAACAGAGACTCTATCCTTATCTTTATGCAGACATGCAAAAACTTACTTTAAAAGATAACCGTGACCTTTCATGAACCCAATTTCATATTAGCAGGAGAGTTTCATGCTTCTCTGCAAGTGTTAGATGTATCTATTAAATTCCTTCCAAAGGCCTTGCCTGACCTATTTCTCAGTTGAGGGCCAAAATAGCTCAATATCAAATAGTTGCAAGTACCTTAGTACTTCTGGAAGAGGGTGGCTGCTGGATCAAATCCTCATCTTGGTCACACTGTCTTGAAATGCAACAAGAGTCACCTCATTATCTTTGGAAGGATTATAATGTCATACTATGACAAGAGCCTGCCCTACTTTCAAGGAATGGATAATGGGGATTTGAGTCCTGAATATGTGAATATCGTTGCAAAGGGAAAAGGT